CTGTCACAAGTCTGTGTTAACCTGTGGAGATTACGACACAGGTACACGATGTGGTTAGACAAGAACCGTATTCCTATATTTTACAGACGCTTCTAACAATGTTTACCATATTGCGATGCCAACTTGTATTTGTCACATGTTTGTTTCCTTAAAATTATGTTTCAAACTCGTGTTTTTTATTTGATATTGAAGGAAGAGTTCCTCTCAAAGAAAAACAATACAGGAATAAAATATTTTAAAGGAAAAGTTTTTTTGTGGAAGAGCTAGGTGTGTTGAAATAATGTGTTGTGAAAATATTCAATCCGTACACCTTCTTTGAAGGAATAGAGTAGTGTATTTGAGACAGTGATTAAAAAAATATTGTGTTTCTAATAAAATCCCAGACTTAGTACTGGACGACAATATTATCTATATCCACGTTGTTTGGAAGGGCAAGAGGGGTGGGCGATGTCTGTCAGTGAGACCATCACGTTTCATTTGCGGAGGGTAACTAGGAGACCGTTTAATATTTTGTAATGAAACCTTTCATTTACAACAAACACATGTTAAACAGGTGCCTTTCGGTGTTTTGGTATTTCCCCAAAATATTTAGGGTGCTTCCTTGGCAACCAACCAGACCTACAGCCTTTGTTTCCAGAGCGTATCTCGGAAAGGTTTGAAAGACATTCTCTTAACTCAAGACAAAGGGCAAGGGTCATTTTGTAATGGACGTATGTTGCATAAGGAAGTCAAACATTATAGATATTAAGTCGGGCATCAATCATTTTCAGTTCATATTCTTTTTTAAATTTGAGTGAGTGAGTGAGTTTGGTTTCACAGTGGGGAACACCGGAAAATGGGCTTCACATATTGTACCCATGTGGGGAATCGAACCCGGATTTTCGGCGTGACGAGCAAACGCTTTAACCGCTAGACTAATCCACTGCCCTTTTAAGGATCGAGTACCGTCGCTATTGGTGTTGTTTTCGAGTCAGTCTTAGTTACCTTTAGACATTATTAAACATCTTTGTTCTTGTACTTGTGTTCGATTCCTATTGGCCATATACATTTCCTAACAGAAAGTCAACATGTCAAGGTTTGGTATTCGACTCTGAAGAAAAAGGATCAGAGAAAAGTATTGTTTTGAGGCAAAACTCACCATTTAACGTTACCAACGACTCAAGAATATACACTCTCTCAAAAAAGAAACGCAACCCCTGTTTTTTTTTGGTAATGTTTATATCAATTTTAACTGGTTATTACATTTGTATTTTTAAAGATAATGCCATGAAATTTGACATGGTGAACCTTAGGTCAGCACGGTATAAGGTAACAGTTAATGCAGGTCAGTATCGAACTCTCAATTTACGCTAGGGGGCGTTGTCTTCAGTATCTCGTTGTAGAGCCACGAGCTCTAATCACAGCAGTGCACCTCCTCGGAACAGAACGAATCAGACGGCGGATGTTTTCCTGGAGATTTATCTCCACTCTTCCTGGAGTGCTGCGGCCAGTTCAACCAACGTGTGCGGTTGTGGTGTACGTGCACGAACACGACGATCCAGCTGGTCCCACAGATGTTCGATAGGATTGATGTCTGGCGATCTTGAGGGCCACGGCATCACGTTGACGTTTGAATTCTGTAGGAATGCCACTGTTGCACGAGCTGTATGAGCGCGGGCATTGTCATGTTGAAACAACTCCCTCTGTTGGTCGATTATCGGCAGAAGATGTGGCTGTAAGACGTCATCAATGTACCGTTATTGCCGTCAAATTGCCACGAATGATGACCAAGTCTGACCGTTGGTTGTAAGACATGGCTCCCCATACCATGATGCTTCCTTTCCAAATCTGTCGACCTGTCGAACGCAGTTCAGTGCAAAACGTTCATTTGCTCGTCTATAGACACGTTGTCTACCGTCACGTCGTTGAAGAAGAAAACGAGACTCGTCACTAAACCAGACTCTTCTCCAGTTTCTGAGGGTCCATCTCCTTACGTTAGTACACCACCTGAGACGTTGGCGTCGATGTTGGCGTTTCAAGACGGGCCCAACAACTGGTCTTCTTGCACGTAAATTTGCCTCATGTAAACGGTTCCTGATGGTTTGGGCCGATACTCTCCTCAAACCTGGCACCTGTGTTGCAGTGATGGTGGGTGTGGCATGCCGATTACGTAGGTGGCTGAGTCGAATAAAGCGATCCTGAGCCGGTGTGGTGATCCTAGGTCTACCGCTCCTGGGACGATCTTCAATTGCATGGAACTGTGTGTAACGATTCCAAAGTCGTGAGATTGTTGTTTTGTGTACGTTTAGATGACGGGCAACTGTTCCTAAAGCTTTCCCCGGCCTCAATGCGACCAATGGCAATATTTCGATTTGCTTGTACTCAAACGGGGCATTTTCGAACTTGATTTGCAGAAGAGCAAATTATGAGAAAAATTACAAACTACGCGTGCTTTTAAAACCCTCTACATGAACTGTGTTTTCAACGATTTGCACGTGCAACAGGCTTTTAGCATTTTGTACATAACAATTTCGCACTTTCTCAAATAACACGGATACAAAGGTCATCATGTGTGAAAATGGTTCCGTTTGGGAGCTTATACTGATCAGATGGGAACGTATTAACAGTATTTTGAAGAAAATTCTAATTTACATTCACCATCTTTATTCTAGAAATGATGTCAGATATTTAGATAGGGGTTGCGTTTCTTTTTTGAGAGAGTGTAGTATGACCAGAAATTATTGAGAATTTTAGGAATATGTTTAATTGGATTTCTAGTATAAACAACCTTAACCAGCTATCAAGTGCTTGATTTCATTTAATCCTTTTTCATTAGTTTGTGAAGAGTTATACCCCTTTGTTTACTTGCTAGCAGACGACATTTTCAGTGATCCTCAGTATGGATGATTTAGAGAAGTGGAAGATGATTTTAGAGTATTATAACAAGGACATCAGATCAGCTAAAGTGATTTCAAGTAGAACAGGCATCCCTTTGTCCACTGTTTATCGTGTTTTGAAAAATATTGCACATGGATATGGCATTAAGCACCAGGGAGGCGCAGGTAGGCCCAGAAAATTGACTGTCGGTGACAGGAGGCGGCTTGGTATTCTTGTTTCTAAAAACAAACGAGGGTAGTTTAGAAAACTTAAGGCTGGATATGATTGATAGAGGAACTGTGGCTGTCTGTAAGGAGACAATTAGAACTGAGCTGCATGCAATGGGTTGGCAGAAAAGTCGAGGAATTCCATCACCGATCATGAAACCTGAACAAAAGGAGCGAAGGTTGAACTGGGGCTTACAGCATAGAAATTTTAACTGGGACAATGTGATTTTCTCAGATGAAAGTACTGTGTGGCTGTTTCCTAATACACTGACATTCTGGACCAAACAAACTGAAAAACCTTTGTATCAGTGCCCAAAGTACAGTCCGAAATTTAATGTGGAGTGGCATATCTGTGTTAGGGGCAACGCCCTCTGTGTATTTGAAGGAATATGACAGTGAGGAATATCGAGGGACATTACTTCCATCTGCTCACGTGTTCTATGGACATTTTTTGCTGACACGGACCCAAAACATCGTTCAAAGCATTCACAGGCCTGGTGGTCCGATATTGGGACAGCTATGCCCTGACCTAAACGACTTTTCAATAAGAAAAATCTGACAAAATTTGAAATCAGAGGTGGTCCGATATTGGGACAGCATGACCACGACCCACTTCTTTGATCATTGAAGCCCCACCACATTGAAGCCTGCATTGCTGCCCGTGGTGACTTGACAAAATACTAACTGTTCACCTGTCTTTGAATCTGGAGTTATGTTCTGCTAATATTACATTTAATACGTGAGTGAAAAAGTAAAAAAATTACAATCTTTAAATTCTCAATAATTTCTGGTTGTACTGTACATAAATTTGTGACACTATTGTGTCTGCATATCAAAGAGGAACAAAAGAGAAACTATGCCTCTCTTTGTTTTAGACCTTTGAGATACAAAGAATGTCCTATAAAGGACAAAAGAGGGGACTGGTAAATGATGGATGGATTCCGCGAAGATGCAAGAAGTTATCAATCACAATAAACATTGTGACATGCACTAAATCTGGCAGCTGATGAGATCAAAACCTATGTCGTTTTCATACAATTATAACATTTTCAGTGGTATTGACTGAAGTACCTTTGTGCAATGAAATGGCTTGGCATAATTGATTGATTACTTAAATCAATTAATATTTTGTATGGTCATCAATAACTGGAGTATCAGACGATTAATACTGTATTGAACGACTGCAAATTAATATCCACACTTACTGGTCACTATCAAATTCCTGTGTTTCTGGTAAATGTTGAAAGAGTCACACCACTTCCTTTCTCTGCAGGGGCAGTGGGGTACCCTAGTGGTTAAAGCGTTCGCTCTTCATGCCGAGGACCCGGGTTCGATTCCCCACATGGGTACAATGTTTGAAGCCCATTTCTGGTGTCCCCGTTGTAATATTGCTGGAATACTGATAAAAGTGAAAACTAAACTCACTCATTTCTTTCTCTGCACACAGATTTTAACCCACAAACATTTCCATCTAAATGTCCGGGTAACTTTACAAAGTACAGGATACATAGACAGTGTTGTCTGTCTCCATCACCTTGTTGATATATGCTTTTTCATCATGAGAAATCAGTACAATGCATATATTTTTAATATTCAAAATTTCTTTGTGGAATATCTTTGTGGATTGAGGAATTAGTGGTTCCTTAAACACAGTTGGTCTTCAGTAACCCATGCTTGTCGTAAGAGGCGACTAATGGGATTGGGTGGTCAGACTCGCTGACTTGGTTGACACATGTCATCGTATCCTAATAGCGTAGATTGATGCTCATGCTGGTGATCACTGGAGTGTCTGGTCCAGACTTGATTCTTTACAGACCGCCGCCATGCTGAGTGACGCATAAAACAACAAACAAACAACCAACAATTTCCATCAGGACAGCAACCATTTCAGGAATAACAATACAACATAACACAAGATGATATATTTCTTTCTTATTTGCTCTGATATATGATAGAACAGGGGTAAAATAGAATAATCTGTAAGCATATTGTCAACATTTCTCATCAACATTTACTTCACACATATAAATATTTCTTTTGTGCATGACACTTATTGACTTTTTGTGGTTTTAAAAACAAAACAAAAACAGATCAATAACTCACAGCAAACAAAACTATTTTCATCAAACTGTATTTGTTGACATTAAACTATTATTTGTAACATAAAGAAAAATAGAGACCATTCAGAATGTGAAAGGCCAATTCAGCCAACACCTTCGTTATCAATCTACAGAGAAATGAGATCCAATTCTACCTGCATGCTTTTGGAATCACATCGACATTAACGAGGCACTGTGTCCTGCCAATTTCTGTTCTGGATCTATAATCAACCCATATTATAATTTGGGTAATCTTCATGTGTCTTATTGGTACACATAATCAAATAGGATTTTACCAACAAACTGGGTTTTGAATGACATCAATTAAATATGGTAAGCATGCCAATTGTTTGCATCAGAATCCCCCTTTAATGCAAATGATGTTTTCAACCCACTCATCCTGTATTGGTAAATACACCAGACTTTTAAAAAAACCCTGAAATGTGAAAACAAAATATAATGAAAAGCAGTGTGTTTTTTTCTATTCCGCTCACCAGAAATAAGTAAACAATTAAATACCAAACTCATACACTGTTGCCATGAATATAAATTCATCATTTAAAATAATCCATTAAAATCCTTTCAAAGCTTACCTTAAAACCTAAAAACACAAAAAGTTATAACCACCTTCAACAGATATGTGTCAATAAAGCAAACAGTTATCTGTAAACGTGCTACTCTCCCCAGTTCACCTGCCCCACATCTTAACATTTTGAAGAAATAAAATTTGAAAATGGAACAAATATTTTTATATTTTGACACCCTAATGCCACAAATATTGGGGCCCTAGGGTCCCAATCCACAAGGCGTTCATAACGTTTCGACCTGTCGTAACTCTATAGTTTATCATAGACTTAACATAGGCAAATGTTGTAGTGCAACGAACATATTGTGGATTGGGACCCAGATGTGTGAACCACAAAATAAAAAAGCCTTTAGCTGAAGCTCCCTTAAAACTGAATACCAGCTAACCCTATCACAAGCACCGTGCAATATTAAATATATAATGATTCACAAAAATAAGTCCCCATAACAATGCAACATCAATAATATATTTCACAACCCATAGCATATTTCTTCATTAATACCCAGGTGTTTGTGATGAAATGATTATAAAGTCTATACCTAGGTGATAGAACTGATCATGACTCAGATATTTATAAATAGAGACCATATGATAAATCTTTACATTATGGTCCCTGATTAAAACAAAATGCTACAAAAATGTGTCTTGGACATGTTGATTATCACCTAGAAATCATCTTTGGTTGAGTGTAAGACAAACAGATTCAAGTCTAGTAACAGGAGTTATTGTGTGCAATTTTGCAGCTAAGACAATAAAAAAAAAATTTAATGAAAAAATAGAAAGACCAACATTCCCACAGGGTTGACCTAACAAAATAATTGGTCACTGATCAAGCAGGATGACATTGAATATATGTGTTCAGGTCAGTGTAATACTTATTGTCTTTCAGACTTTCCTACATTGGAAAACATCAAATTTGAAACAAATTCATTAACATTCTATGTATACTGAACAACATTAGAAACACACCACACTAAAATGCACCGACGATGCTCAGATATCATGGGAACATTTCAATCTGATGGGGATATTTCGTATCATATGGGTGGTGTTTTTCTAATGTTGTTCAGTATACATAACAACATTAGCAAGGTACCAATTTTCAAATTGCTGTTGGCAAGTTTGAAAGATACTCTCAGATGGAAAGATTTTAATAACAGTTGTTCTTTAAAGTTCCTGAGGATGAACCTATGAATCTGGAAGTATGTTGCCAATTCTTAATGTTCAATTCATTGTGTAGAGGTTCCTCCCTTATGTGCAGTAGGATCCAGTGATGGATCCAGATTTACCCTGATTATGTGTTCAGGTTTGACAGCACCATATTTGACTCATGGGTTTCACCAAAGTGAAAAGATAATGTCTCAGAAACATCCCTTAAGGATTTCCTTCTACATTACATAACCTGATAAAACTGGAATACTTCTTAAAGTGACCATAACCCTACTTACTCATTTCCTAAGTCATCCTGACACAGTGCTGACATACGGAAACAACTGCACAAAGAAATGTTCTGGAAATGTTGGAACAGTTATGAAAGGTTATCCTATCAAAAATAATACAGAATTTGAGGCTTCACTGATGGGGATGAAGATGATAATGATAATGAAGTAGAGTGAGTGAGTGAGAACGGGTCGACGCTGCTTTTATCATTATTCCAGCAATATCATGGTGGGGGATACAAGAAATGGGCTTCACACATTGTACCCATGTGGGGAATCGAACCCGGGTCTCCGGCGTGACAAACAAACGCTTTAACTACTAGGCTACCCCACCGTCTGATGAGGATGATGATGATGATGATGATGATGCTGATGATGATGATGGATTTCTCGATCCTTTTGCACTTAGACAGTAACACAATAAAACAAAGGCATAGATCAAATCTAAGACATAAATATACTCTGGTGTATAAAGGATTTCATCAAGACACAGGGCTTAAACTCAGTAGACAATAGCATAGTGTACATTCTCCCCTTCATGAAACAAAATAAACTAATTATTCTTCATGTTTTGTTGACTTCGAGATAACATAAAAGATAATATGATACAAATATTCTGTTTATATTATATGTACCATATTACGGTATATCATTAAATCAAGCAACTGGGAAATTAATTCTTGATTTAAAATATTTCCTTCATTAGCACTAAGGATGAAAAAAGACTTTTTAAGCAAACATTACTCAACAACTTCTGCAAATCACTGCCAATCACATACATAATTTAGTCTTGAATTCTTTAAAGTATCTTGAGGTCAGTTAGTAATTCAGAGAAAAACAGTCAAAGCACACATATGGAGTAATTCTTCAAATAAAGCAAGAAGTTTTGAAATATGAAAAGTATATGTAATGATATGAAGTGGAAATACTGCAAAAATCATTTAAACATATTCACTTAATTCACAAATAGTGAACACAACTGGGGAAAACAATATGTGGAAGCCGAAAAAACTGCAGATTGTATTCACTTTCACAACACTAATTACAACTATCATGTACAACAGTGACCTTGGGTCGCTATGGAGACGGAAGACTTGTATGGAAGGAATGATACGCAAACCTTGGAATGAATCGAACAATATAACTTACACACTAGTACCAATATATACATATGTTATATACAAACGTATTTTCATCCGATATATTTGTGGGAAACATAAAGGAATATTCACAAAACTATTGATGTGACACATAAAGTGGAGGAATAAAACTGTGGAAGGAATATTCTCCTAAAGGTACATAATAGCATCTTCAGGTCAGGAATAGAGCATATTCTGTGAGAAAATGATTTTCCTGAAAGAATGTGTTCATTCTTAAAGAATACATATATCTGCAAAGTTTTCGTAATGTTACGACCTGTCGTAACTCTATAGTTTATCATAGGATTACGAATGTCGTAGAGCTACGAACGCTTTGTGGATCGGATCCAGGATTATACAGGTCAGACAAAGACTTTTACCCCAGAGAGAACCTGCAAGTGTCACACGATATTAGTATCATCAGATCAGGAATGGTACGAGATTATTTGTCTAATGTTAGAGAAATATACAAAGAACATCTTTCTAACTATTATCCATCAGAACCACTGACTTTCTCTTCTCGTACATTCAGAGTAATATTGGAACTACTTCTGTGTTCCTTGTTTTCACTTAGTGTCGGAACATGAGGACAAAACTGCATGGCGGCAATGCTAGATCAGAGGAGTTACTGTCAGTAACTATATGTAAAAAATATGTATTTCTCATCCAATACTGGTTTCTAGAGGAGATATCGCTTGTAGAAATTCAAGTGATATCTCCTAGAAGATATCAATTTGGTAAGTTTTGAGCTAATTGATGATCTGTCAATGTTTTCGGACTACTTTCATCTCCCTTAGCTGTAAGCAAATGGAAGTTGTTCTTTGATGTCGAAAGAGTTATTTTTGTTCATGATTTGTTCTAATGACATAAAAGTTTACTTAAAATGCCACCAAGAAATGGTGAAACTTATGCATTGTAGAATTTAAAGCAATAAATGTTAGCACTATTTTTTATGTGCTTGTTTTTTTATGACATAATGGTGTCACTTGTTCTCTCTTCCATCACACTTATTCACTTGGATGTATTCATATGCAAGTCTTCAAATGAACTTGTTACAGGTGATGTTTCGTTTACAATTTCTCTTGAACGACAAATTAAGTATGATATTGGATGATAAATAGAATCTCACCCTTGTGTCTTTTGATATCAAATACATTGTATATCACTACGTAATGATATCTTACGCTCGGGTGAGATTCTCTATGTGTCATGATGAACCAGAGGTAAAAGACACACTAGTGTTGGCTACCTTGGGAACACAGTTCTGATTCTGCTCTAACAACCTTACTTTGTTCAACACCAATCAGAGGCAATGATAATTTGAAATGTACCTTTCAACACAATTTCTGTATTAGCATGAGAAATAATGTGTTCTAGTATATCAATTATCAATATCACTGAGTTCTTGGCATGAAAATATCACCACCTCTGTTGAGAAATGTCCTTCAAAGTTTCCTAATATAATGTATAAAATCTCTAATATACTAAAACTGCAGATGAAAATAAATTTACTATAAGATTTTCTGAATCAAATTTCAAGATAAGATACTGATATTTTAAAAGTGCTTCATACAGTTTTCTTGGATGTCTTAATTGGATTATCATCAACTTATAAACCAATTTATCGATATATATTTATTAATTTATTATTGTTGAGCATATCTACGGTTGGTAATAGGTCAACAGAATGACACCTGATCAACACACCTGCTAAAATAATTTGAAGTACCAAAGAATCTCCCGTATATCTCTTCCCCTTTAGTTATAGGTGGAGTTATCTCCCCTTATGTTAATCCACGTACTTACACTTTCCATTGTGACTAAATTATAAAATACAGCACCATTGTCTGAACCCAAACTTTGCCTTCACAACATATTCACAAACACACAGTGAAGACATGGACTTAGAGTCATGCTTTTTATACCAACAGAATGCTGTGGTCTAGTGGATCGAGCAGGGTTTTACGAGACGCAGAAACATGCATCCAGTAGACACAAATGTAGAGAATGGATGCAGAAGAAAATTCACTGCATCCAGAGGGATGCACAATATTATTCACTGTACCTAAAACACATCTATGACTTTGGTGGGTGTTTGTTTTTTTCTTTCAGAGCAGTTACGTGCATCATTTCATCCATCAGTCCACATGATCAATGATCATTCCAGACTCTAGAAAATTACCAAAAAGTACAGTTCTCTAAACCATTACTTCACAAGACCCTCATTTTGCCTGCAAGCACCCATAAAACTAATAATTAAGGGTCCCCAGGACCCTATGTTTGTGAGTCGAGGTAAATCCCTGCTAGAGTATCATGTCATTTCATCAACCTATCCATGTAGAGCCATCAATCCTTCCTTCATGAATATGTCCTCATTCAAACTGTCAGACTAAACTGTTCCTTTCTCAATGAACATACATTATACATATATAGTTAATAAAATGCCTCTTTTGACAACAACCTTTGATGATTTTGTATTTGATCACAATCTCTTCCACGACCATGGCATATTTTAAATAATAAAAATAAAATATTTTAGAATCCTGATCACAGACTCAGTAGTAATTTGTCTAGATACAGCAATATTATATTTTCGTACCTCTCATGAAATGGATGTGAATCTGATGAAAAGAGAATCAGTCCTCTCAGTAAAATCTCCACTTCAAACCCCAGTGGTCTTAGGAACAGAGTATCGAGTTATGTCCCTTTGTTGTTGAGGTCCATGCTCCTTGCTTGACCAGTAATAAATGTCAACAGTCTGCAGTACCGATTCCACAAAGTGATCTTAGCGCTCAGATTAATGCAGCTGTCATGTTCTAACATAAACTTGTGATAATCACAGCAGTACCGATTCCACAAAGTGATCTTGGCACTAAGATGAATACATCTACTTTGCTCTAACACAGACTTCCAGTCATACTAAAGTACTGTCAGAAATAGAAAAAAACTGTTTTTTTCGCATTGATATCTACAACTTATGTAGTTAATATGTGTAATTATGAAATATCTGTTAAACTAAGTTCGACCAAACTACAGTCTCAGTGGTAGGGAGATAGGAAACGTAGAAAAAGGACTTTACTGAGGAGAGATTAGTGCAGAAATGAGAAATGCGTTTTTTTCAAAGTCCAAAGCGACCTATTTGGAACAGGCCATGGTTTTATGCAAATTAATGTGCGATGATATTATATTACAAATGACAATTTTAAATGTCCATTTTGAAATTAAACTATCACTATAAAAAGAAACAGGTAGGAGGGGTTGTCTCAAAAGCAAATCCAGGACGGGTGTCAGAGACGGTGGTTGGGGTCGGGCTGGGGGGATAGAGATATAAGCTGAGATAAGATAATCCTTTAGGGGAAGCAAACGGCATGTCATAACAATTTACAAATAATATCCAGTCCTGTCGATCTTCGGGTGGTCATGCCACCTATATATTTTGAGACATTTAATACGATGGCTGATTTAAGGTTTCCATGGGTATCATACCCTTTTACGTATCTCAACATAAACTTTATGATCAATAAATGAGACATATTCAACACTCATGAAAAAGCATAAAATATCTTTGTGATGGCCCCTTGTGCTTGTAGGCAGTACGTGCATTTCATGCCAGGTGAGTCGACGGTCCGTTGTCATACCTGGCTGAGCGACCTAATTGCCATCTATAGTCCGATCTATTGTTTTCAGCAGCTATACGTATTTTTTCTAAGTTTTGCCCCATTTTCCGAGTAAACATGCTTTTTTGGATATGTTATTATGCATCCAACTGAAAGCCCAGTTAGGCCGATGTGGGTTATTTCGATATATGCTATTCGAAAATTTGTCAATTTTAGGGATACAAAGTAACAGCCTAAAAACAGTTTTTTTTCTATTTCCGACAGTACTTTAGAGCTAAGCACTAAGATCCCTTACTGAATGGTGAGCTGGTCTGTCTCACATAAACAGACATGCCGTGACTTAACCAAAATATTGTTGACAACGGTGCTAACCATAACTCAATCACGTTTCTCTCGCAACTCTTCCTGCGCTTCCATCTGCTCTAGTCGGCGAAGTTGCTGGTTGACTCTGCGAGCAGCTTCCTTGTTGCCTAGTTTCTCCTCCATTTCCTTCAGGTAGAAGTAGAAGGCCTTCTGGTATGGCTCCACCTTGATTCCCTGGAATCGGTTGGAAGATGATCAGCACGAGTGAGGGAGTCAGATGGGTTATATGGAATCGGTCAGAAGATAATAAACGTGAGTGAGGGAGTCAGACAGGTTATCATGACACTTATAGCAATATTCCAGCAATATTATGGCGGGGGCACCAGAAATTGACTTCACATCTTCAGAATCGAACCTTATTATGACAAACGAACACTTTAACCACCAGGCTATCTGACCATCCCACAGAACATGAATGATGGTTGAGATTTGGCACTTTTTAACCCCCACAGAAGCAGCCATTAATATCGCTGTGGTCTACCTGTGTTCTGACTTCATGTCTGAAGAGTCAAAAACTTAAAAACAGCTAGCCTGGAATATTTGCAAATTATGTCATTCTTTAAATATGGAATGATTGCCAAAAATACTTTTTGTGTTTTAATTGCTGTGTTAAGACATAGCTGTAACATATGTTATATTTGGGATTACACTTTCTTAGTAAAGTACAAATTCTAGTACTTTTTTTAGTTGAGCCTCATCCGGGATTCGAACTCACATCCTCAGAGTTCGATGGGGCTCAACTCAAAAAAGTACTAGAATTTGTACTTTACTAAGAAAGTGTAATCCCAAATATAACATATGTTACATTTGACCACTTTCTAACTGACATAGACATAGCTGGGCACTGGTTTTTATAAAGAGAAATGTGTTGTATTTGTCGCAGGGTGTTGAGTCATCCCACAGCTGACATCGTTTACTAGTCTGCTTTCTGATGGGGCTAACATCTTTGGTCATGTTGATCAGACGGTCAGGGGTTTGTATCCCAGCATGGGACCCGGACGTATTCTTGCTGCTAAACATGGACAAAACTGTCAAGCTTCAGTCTAGTACCTTTATTATAGCAGCCAATATTTGTTTTTGCTTGATATTTTACATATTTTCTTGGTGTATTGTGAAATATGGGATCATTATCTGTCTGTACCTAAGTAAGATCATTTAATCTTTCTCATTTATGCTGGGGTTCTTAAGAAAGGAAGCTCGAGGGATTTAAGAGGAGGGTAGGCTCATAAACTCATAGTTTTATCCTGAAATTCAAAGTTTGAAAAAAACGTTGCTGATGATGATGATAATTTGGAGATTTAATGTGTGCTTTTGGCATAATGCATATTTTGCATGGGCCCGTGTGTTGCATTGGAATCTTGAATGATGATGTCACCCACTCCTCCAAGGTTGTTTTAATCAAGGTCTCACCTGTCAAGGCAGAGTCAGTCAATCTCTCACCTGTCTGAAGACTTCTGCAGCATCTTTGAATCTCTCATTTTCTTTCAGGAAGGTCCCATATTTGGCATACCCATCCCACACGTTGGGGTTGAGTTTTATCACTTTCTTCATGAGAGTCTCTGCCTCGTCTTTCTTCTCCAACTGAAACAAGGAGTCAGTTCTTCACACTTCCCGTACAAATATGGCTTGATTCAGCTTACCAATGTTTCATTGATTTGTTCATTGTTTAAAGGACCTGTATGTTAATGGTTCTGGGTGTTTTAAATCCTGTATGGAGTAATTATCAAGTGTGATGTCATACTTTCAGTTCAAGCACAATTAAGAAGGCACAACAAAACAATAATGTCCACCTAAGGAAGCTGAAAACGCAGGGCAGAATATCTGGATTTAGCCATGTTCAGATCAAAATTGAAGAGGGAACTGATTTTTTTTGAGTTAAAAAGTACTAATTGCAGCTTGATTAGAAAGGAGCGAATGCTTATAAAACCCCAGATTAAATTATGAACGTCTCATCTGAATGAAACTGATCACATTTGCAGAACACTCTCCTACCAACAGTTAACTGAAGCCAGCTATGTCTGCTTTATCGTCACATCTCTCTCAAGCCATTGAAGATGCTGCATGTTTTCATCTGTTTAACTTTCGTTGAGAAAATATCCTAAACATACATAACTCTTTCCATTTGCATATTTATCCTTTACTTACATTTGCTGTGCAGGAGCAACCGCTGATGCCCAACCGAGAGCTAGCGATAGTCACTTTGATACATAAAGATATATTGCCATGCACTTCACTGTTGCTGATGTAGTAGCACATGTGAGTGAGTGAGTTTAGTTTTAGGCTGCCTTTAGCAATATTCCAGCAATACCATGGTGGGGGACACCAGAAATGGGCTTCACACGTACCCATGTGGGGAATCGAACCCGGTGTAGCAGGCTATTTCTTCCCCGGTCTAAACTTTTCCCAGGGGAGAATCTGGCCTAGGCCCGACTGTCCCCGGGAGGTTTTGTCCTAGGATATACTTACCCTGGGAAAGTTTGGGTTAGGCTAAAGTCTTGTCCCCCACACACACACACACCCCTAGGCCAAACTTTCCCCTGTTTAAACTAGGATATTTTGTTCTGTTTACTATGAAAAGTGTGGAGATTCTGGCCTAGCTAGGCTACTTCTTCCCCACCCTTGATTTTATATAAAAGGGGGAGATTCTGGCCTACCTACGCTACTTCTTCCCCACCCTTGTTTTTTATATCAAAGGGGAGATTCTGGCCTAGCTAGGCTACTTCTTCCTCCACCCTTGTTTTTATATCAAAGGGGAGATTCTGGCCTACCTAGGCTACTTCTTCCCCACCCTTGTTTTTTATATCAAAGGGAGATTCTGGCCTACCTAGGCTACTTCTTCCCTCACCCTTGTTTTTATATCAAAAGGGGAGATTCTGGCCTAGCTAGGCTACTTCTTCCTCACCCTTGTTTTATATCAAAGGGGAGATTCTGGCCTAGCTAGGCTACTTCTTCCCTCACCCTTGTTTTTATATCAAAAGGGGAGATTCTGGCCTAGCTAGGCTACTTCTTCCCTCACCCTTGTTTTATATCAAAGGGGAGATTCTGGCTACTTCCTAGCCTCAAAGGGGGCTAGGCTACTTCTTCCCCACCCTTGTTTTTATATCAAAAGGGGAGATTCTGGCCTACCTAGGCTACTTCTTCCCCACCCTTGTTTTTATATCAAAAGGGGAGATTCTGGCCTACCTAGGCTACTTCTTCCCCACCCTTGTTTTATATCAAAAGGGGAGATTCTGGCCTACCTAGGCTACTTCTTCCACACCCTTGTTTTTATATCAAAAGGGGGAGATTCTGGCCTACCTAGGCTACTTCTTCCTCACCCTTGTTTTTATATCAAAAGGGGAGATTCTGGCCTACCTAGGCTACTTCTTCCCCACCCTTGTTTTTATATCAAAAGGGGGAGATTCTGGCCTAGCTAGGCTACTTCTTCCCACCCTTGTTTTTATATCAAAAGGGGGAGATTCTGGCCTACCTAGGCTACTTCTTCCCCACCCTTGTTTTTTATATCAAAAAGGGGAGATTCTGGCCTACCTAGGCTACTTCTTCCCTCACCCTTGTTTTATATCAAAAGGGGAGATTCTGGCCTAGCTAGGCTACTTCTTTCCCCACCCTTGTTTTTATATCAAAAGGGGGAGATTCTGGCCTACCTAGGCTACTTCTTCCCCACCCTTGTTTTTATATCTAAAGGGGGAGATTCTGGCCTACCTAGGCTACTTCTTCCCCACCCTTGTTTTTATATCAAAAGGGGAGATTCTGGCCTACCTAGGCTACCTACCCTTCTTCCCCTACCCTTGTTTTTATATCAAAAGGGGAGATTCTGGCCTACCTAGGCTACTTCTTCCCACACCCTTGTTTTTATATCAAAGGGGAGATTCTGGCCTACCTAGGCTACTTCTTCCCCACCCTTGTTTTTATATCAAAAGGGGAGATTCTGGCCTAGCTAGGCTACTTCTTCCCCACCCTTGTTTTTATATCAAAAGGGGAGATTCTGGCCTAGCTAGGCTACTTCTTCCCCACCCTTGTTTTTATATCAAAAAGGGGAGATTCTGGCCTAGCTAGGCTACTTCTTCCCTCACCCTTGTTTTTATATCAAAAAGGGAGATTCTGGCCTACCTAGGCTACTTCTTCCCCACCCTTGTTTTTATATCAAAAGGGGAGATTCTGGCCTACCTAGGCTACTTCTTCCCCACCCTTGTTTTTATATCAAAGGGGAGATTCTGGCCTACCTAGGCTACTTCTTCCCCACCCTTGTGTCTTTTTATATCAAAGGGGAGATTCTGGCCTACCTAGGCTACTTCTTCCCCACCCTTGTTTTTATATCAAAAGGGGAGATTCTGGCCTACCTAGGCTACTTCTTCCCCACCCTTGTTTTTATATCAAAAGGGGGAGATTCTGGCCTACCTAGGCTACTTCTTCCCCACCCTTGTTTTTATATCAAAAGGGGGAGATTCTGGCCTACCTAGGCTACTTCTTCCCCACCCTTGTCTTTTATATCAAAAGGGGGAGATTCTGGCCTAGCTAGGCTACTTCTTCCTCACCCTTGTTTTTATATCAAAAGGGGAGATTCTGGCCCTAGCTAGGCTACTTCTTCCTCACCCTTGTTTTTATATCAAAGGGGGAGATTCTGGCCTACCTAGGCTACTTCTTCCCCACCCTTGTTTTTATATCAAAAGGGGGAGATTCTGGCCTACCTAGGCTACTTCTTCCCCACCCTTGTTTTTATATCAAAAGGGGGAGATTCTGGCCTACCTAGGCTACTTCTTCCCCACCCTTGTTTTTATATCAAAAGGGGGAGATTCTGGCCTACCTAGGCTACTTCTTCCCCACCCTTGTTTTTATATCAAAAGAGGGAGATTCTGGCCTACCTAGGCTACTTCTTCCCCAGCCCTTGTTTTTTATATCAAAGGGGAGATTCTGGCCTACCTAGGCTACTTCTTCCCCACCCTTGTTTTTATATCAAAAGGGGAGATTTATGGCCTACCTAGGCTACTTCTTCCCCACCCTTGTTTTATATCAAAAAGGGGAGATTCTGGCCTAGCTAGGCTACTTCTTCTCCACCCTTGTCCACCCTTGTTTTATATCAAAAGGGGAGATTCTGGCCTAGCTAGGCTACTTCTTCCTCACCCTTGTTTTTATATCAAAAGGGGAGATTCTGGCCTAGCTAGGCTACTTCTTCTTCCTCACCCTTGTTTTTATATCAAAAGGGGAGATTCTGGCCTAGCTAGGCTACTTCTTCCCTACCCTTGTTTTTATATCAAAAGGGGAGTTTCTGGCCTACCTAGGCTACTTCTTCCCCCCACCCTTGTTTTTATATCAAAGGGGAGATTCTGGCCTACCTAGGCTACTTCTTCCCCCACCCTTGTCTCTTATATCAAAGGGAGATTCTGGCCTACCTAGGCTACTTCTTCCCCACCCTTGTTTTTATATCAAAGGGGAGATTCTGGCCTACCTAGGCTACTTCTTCCCTCACCCTTGTTTTTATATCAAAAGGGGAGATTCTGGCCTACCTAGGCTACTTCTTCCCTACCCTTGTTTTTATATCAAAGGGGAGTTTCTGGCCTACCTAGGCTACTTCTTCCCCACACCCTTGTCTTTTATATCAAAAGGGGAGATTCAGGCCTACCTAGGCTACTTCTTCCCTACCCTTGTTTTTATATCAAAAGGGGAGATTCTGGCCTACCTAGGGCTACTTCTTCCTCACCCCTTGTTTTTATATCAAAGGGGAGATTCTGGCCTACCTAGGCTACTTCTTTCCCTACCCTTGTTTTTATATCAAAAGGGAGTTTCTGGCCTACCTAGGCTACTTCTTCCCCACCCTTGTCTTTATATCATATCAAAGGGGAGATTCTGGCCTAGCTAGGCTACTTCTTCCCCACCCTTGTTTTTTATATCAAAGGGAGATTCTGGCCTAGCTAGGCTACTTCTTCCCTCACCCTTGTTTTATATCAAAGGGGAGATTCTGGCCTACCTAGGCTACTTCTTCCTCACCCTTGTTTTTATATCAAAGGGAGATTCTGGCCTACCTAGGCTACTTCTTCCCCACCCTTGTTTTTATATCAAAAGGGGAGCTTCTGGCCTACCTAGGCTACTTCTTCCCCCACCCTTGTCTTTATATCAAAGGGGAGATTCAGGCCTACCTAGGCTACTTCTTCCCCTACCCTTGTTTTTATATCAAAAGGGGAGATTCTGGCCTACCTAGGCTACTTCTTCCTCAGCCCTTGTTTTTATATCAAAAGGGGAGATTCTGGCCTACCTAGGCTACTTCTTCCCTACCCTTGTTTTTATATCAAGGGGAGTTTATGGCCTACCTAGGCTACTTCTTCCCCCACCCTTGTTTTTATATCAAAAAGGGGAGATTCTGGCCTAGCTAGGCTACTCCTTCCCTCACCCTTGTCTTTTTATATCAAAGGGAGATTCTGGCCTACCTAGGCTACTTCTTCCCCACCCTTGTCTTTATATCAAAAGGGGGAGATTCTGGCCTAGCTAGGCTACTTCTTCCTCACCCTTGTTTTTATATCAAAGGGAGATTCTGGCCCTAATTAGGCTACTTCTTCCTCACCCTTGTTTTTATATCAAAGGGGGAG